AGGCTAGCCTGGATGTTGGGGTCCTCCTACGATAGCTTCCTGAATTCTGGTATTAACTTGTACATTTCACTATGCTTGGCTTAGTTATCTTTGGTGTATTCTGATTTTAGGTCCCTTCAGGTACGTAACCCAGGAGTGACCCATATGGCAATCTTATTTAGTTTTCTTTCTTTTGAAACCTGTATGCTTATTTCCATAGGGACTGGACTAATAACCCAATATCCATGCCAGCATTTGTGGTTTTGTTTTCATTCTGACTGTGGTGAGGTGAATTTTTGTTTTCATTCTGACTGTGGTGAGGTGAATTTCAATGCAGTTTAGATTTGTATTTTCCTGGTGACAAAGCATGGCAAACAGTTCTTTCATGTGTTTATTTTCTATATAAATGTCTTTTGAGACATTTCATTCATTTTTTATGTATTTGATGCAGGATTTCTCTGTGTAACAGCTCTGGCCGTCTGGAACTCACTATGTAGACTAGACTGGCCTTTAACTCACAGATATCCACCTGCCTCTGCCTCCCGAGTGCTGGAATTAAAGGCGTGCACCACCACTGCTAGGCATGAATATTTTTTTTCATTGAAGAATTCTACTTACTTTGCTTTGGCAGTTCTGGGATTGAACCCAGGGCTTTGTTCATGTTTCTTAGGTAATCTATCCCACTCTTCCTTTAGATTTAAAGATTGTCATCTATAAATACAAGGATATAAGGAGAATTCTGCTTTTGACAGCTATGACTTCTAACAGTGTGTGGATGGGAGGTCTACCAGAGACAAACTGGCCAAAGGACGCCTACTCTGTAATGGGACAAGGGAAAGATGTGAAAGACTACAGTTGGCCTTGGAAAAAAGAGAGGTCCATGAGCCAAGTAACGTAGGTAGATTTGAGAAGCTGGGAAGGGTAAGAGAGCCAATGTACCCTTGGAGCCTCCAGAGAGCTATGCTTCCCTGTGGATGGATACCTTAATGTTAGTCTAGTGAGACTGTGTTCAAATGCTGGCTTCAAAATTGTAAAGAGAATGCATCTGTATTTCATTTTTAAAAGATTTATTTATTATGTACACAGTGTTCTGCCTGCATGTATGCCTGCATGGCAGAAGAGGGCACCAGATCTCACTATAGAAGGTTGTGAGCCACCATATGGCTGCTGTGATTGAACTCAGGACCTGTGGAAGAAGTCAGTGTTCTTAAACTCTGAGCTGTCCTTCCAACCCCTGGATTTGTATTTTTAAGGGGGAAATGATGATGGGAGAAATGGAGAAAAGGAAGAAGAAAAGGATGACGTAAGAGAGAACGGAAGGAGAAAAAATGTATTCTACACAACAGACTGATTATTTTAAAACCACAGTTTTAAACAGCACTTACTACTGACCCCCCTTTTTTGTTGAGACAAAGTCTTTCTGTGTATCCCTGGGACTCCAGGCTGACCTTGACTTAGAAGATACCCACTTGATTCTGCCTCCTGAGTCAGATTAAAGGTGTGCACTACCATGCCCTTCCAGCATACTAGAACATTAAAAAAAACAATGGTAAGAGGGGAGAAATAATTTCAATAAGAAACTCCAAAATAACTTAAAAGACAAACTATAAAAATTTGATTTAATTTTTTTAAACACAAAGATAAGAGCAACGGTTCCCAAATAGTGAATTAGGTGGATTCTAGAGGCAGGGAAAAATCTATGTCAAAAACTCCAGGAGATAATAAGTAGGTTGAAATGCATAGTAAACATAATATACACTTGTATTTGTAACACATAGTAAAAGCCGTCCTTTTTTTCCACTACAACAGATTGCAAAACACCAGAGCTTGGTTGTATCCACGTGACCCCTGGGCTATAGGGAGAGCACCAGCTCTCCAACAAATAGGAGGAGCCTGTTTCTTGGAAGTCATGTCTGAAGATTCGAGAGCAGCGATGAGACTTTTATGTTTATTAGAAGGCATGTGGGGACACTTATTTGGGGATCTAGAACATGCTAAACCACTTTCCAGGATGGCTTCCCCAGGAGAGAAGCATCTGTGCATCTGGCTTTTCGGCTGTTTCTGATGACACAGTACGGGTTAGCGAACAAGCTCTGCCGTTGGGAGCATCACTGCACATGAGAGTGACTCATCAGCAGTGTGTTAGTGTATGGACTGCCCGGACCTCCCAACACTGCAGCTCTGCTCTCCCCACGGCTCCACGTTAGGAAACCACTCTCCCTCTGGGGAGCTATCAAGATAGCTCAGGTGGTAACGAAGTCACTGCAATAGTTTTGGGAGTTTATTTGTGGGGGGATCTTTTATGAAGACAGAAGCTTACACACACTATGAAAATAATCAAATATAAAAGTAAATAACAATACTATTTGGCATAGTTTCTTTAAACACGGCTCTTCCTTTTGCTTCATTTAACAGGAAGCCATTAAGATCCAAACAAGACCTTAAGCCATTTTTTTGTCATCATTTTGAGATGACATGGCTATGATTTGATTACCAACTGTGAGGACACAACAGAATTAAGCCTTAAGAATACGGCTAAATCTCTTAATGTTTAATGAAGAGGACTCCAAAAGACACCTTGATTAAAAGTGATGAAATAGCTGAGGCACGCACCTGTGGTGTTTGAGACATTAACACAATGGGCTCTAATTCCTGGAGAAACAAGTGGCACTGATTAGTAACGGGTAAAACGAACGCCCGGTGAGAACGCCTGGTCTCTCCTGTGCTGGAAGAAAGTTCTAGGAAGAAGAGCCACCTAAAAGGAAGTGAGAGCTTTCATAAACGTTCTGAATGACTACTTCTTTGGCTGGTGGGTGGAATCTTCTTTTTTCCTTCTCTAATAGGAATGAAAAGGGGATAAGAAGATGTCTCAGGAATGATGTGACTATCAGGGTTTTGTGGAGCAGCTGGTTGGAGATAACATGCGGGCAAGCACGGCTATCTGACTGTATGAACGGGGAAGGAAAACGGCAAAGATCAGAGTCTTTTTTTTTTCAGCAACAGAAGGCTGTTTAGATGTATTTGTCAGGCAAAACGAATATGTGGGCAGCTTAGAATGTGTGTGCAAAACACACCCATTTTTGCAGAGCACCTACTTAGAGTGCAATGGGTTCTTTATAAGGGCAAAGCAGTGGGAGTGGAGAGGTTTTGCACCACAGCAGGAGCTGGGAAAGAAACAGGGAAAGCAAAGGCAGCAAGGGAACCTCTCTTCCCAGGCACTCTCTATAAAGATTTGTGGCTGTGGAGAGGCTGAGGGGCAACCCTCCCAATTGGCAGGAGTTTCCTTATTCAGCAGGCTGCCGTAAAGCACATTTACTCACTTGAGTCCAATCCTTTGTATAGGAATGAACGCCGTTTGGGAGACCCAAGAGCAATCAAAAGGGATTTTCTGGAGGTTATGAGGGCTTTCCTAGGCAGGAACACGCAATGAAAACCCCTAAGTGCAAAGAAGCTGGCCAATGGATGTTTGAAAGACAAGGTAGTGGCAAACATCTGCAATCCCAGGCTGAGGCAGGAGGGCCATTGTGAGCTTGAGGACAGCCTGGTCTACAGAGGGAGAGAAGGAAGGAGATGATGGATGGATGACAGGTGGATGGATGGATGAAAGCTAGTTAGATAGACAGATGACAGATAGATGAGGGAGGGGGTTGAGCTTGTGGAAAAAGAAATGAAAATAAGGGGTAGAAATATTTAGATGGCTCCCATTGCCTTTCACAGAGATGGCTGGGCAAAATAAGTTTATTTCAGACATGGTATTAGCATTCTTTCTTTCTTTTTTTGGTTTTTCAGGACAGGGTTTGTGTAACAGCTCTGGCTATCTGGGGACTCCTTTTGCAGACCAGGTTGGCCTTGAACTTACACCTCTGCCTCCCAGTACTTGGATCACAAATGTGCACCACTCCTTTCTTTTCACCAGTGTTGGCCAGAATCTTGGCTTGCTTATGCAGGCCTATAACCCCATCCACTCAGAATCCTGAGGCAGATGAATCACAAGCTCAAAGTCAGCCTGGACTGTGAAGAGAATTCAAGGCTAGCCTGGGCAACTTAGCAAAACTCAGTCTCAAAGACCGAAGAGGGCTGGGGATGTGGCTCAGCAGCAGAGAACTTGTCTAACACCCGAGCTCCTAGGTTTAATTCCCAGAACTAAGAACTGATGGAAATAAGGCAAATCTGACAGAAACTGTGATCAGAACAAGTCTCTGTAACTCAGTCCTAGGAATTACAGTTGGATGCGTCACTTGCCAGTGCTGCCCCCACAGGTGAGTCAGCGCTCTGTGGTAAGAACACCACCATACAGCAACTGTGAGTGATTTTCTGGCCACAAAGGGCAGTATCTGCTACTATCTGTCTGCAAATGAGAGGGATGAAATTTTGGAATTCAGCCAGTTTTCACAAACACAATGATAAGACAGGAGAAACCACCATTTCCAAGTCTATGGTACTTATTCTGTGTCCTGTTGACTATAGCTTGGCCCATAGGAGGCTTGAAAATGCATCTCCTTGGTCCTGGGTTTGAGCCGGAGAACCTGAGCAGGAGGAGCACTGTGCAAGCAAGCGTAGAATTTTAAGCAGCTGATTTGTTCCCAGAAGCAGGTATCTGAAGGACTGGCCAAGAATCTCAGGAAGCTACATACTTAAAACAGAAGGGTAAAGTTACAAAAGAACAGAAAGACAGCAGAACTGGGATCTGTAGAGATCAGTTTAGGGCAGTGGTTCTCAACTAATGCTGCCACCTTTAATACAGTTCCTCACGCTGTGGTGATCCCCCAACCACACAGTGGTTTTGTTGCTACTTCATAACTATAATTTTGTGACTATTGGGATCATGGTGAAAATATCTGATATACAGGCTATCTGATATGTGACCCTTGTGAAAGTGTGATGCAAACCCCAGTGAGGTCTTAGCCCACAGACTGAGAACTGCTGACGTTATTGAGAATAGCAAAGACCCTGAGCTCACCACACATATCAGCATCAACCTGAAGAACTTAAGCAAAAGCTATCACAAAGAATTCCCTTACCCTCTGTAGGTCTTTGAGGCAGCCCAAGCCCCAAGCGGTCCAGCTGTTCTCTGCCTGTTGCTTTAGGACTCCAGTCTCTCAATTCAGCATCCTCGGAGTCTGTTTCTAGGTGTCTGTCGCCTCGCAGTAACCTGCAGACTGGTTTCAGATCTTACGTCCGTGGCCCTGGAAGGCCTCCCTCCCCATCGCCTTCCATCCACTCCTGCCCATCCGGGAAGACACAGTCATCCAAACTGCGGGTTTGCAGGACTTTCTAAGAAGCAGACAGGCTAAAGACGAATAAAATTGTCTTCCTGGCCTCAGCTCAAGGCAATGAGGCAGGAGGGACACCCTGCTACTGCTTAATATTCACTGAAAGCTCACAAAGCCTTAATATACAGGAGAACAAACCGATGGCATGATCTTTAGCCTCTGGGGAATTGGGCTGTCTTCATTAAAAGCTACAGCTCTGACTTCCCACAGAAGCAGAGCAACAGTTAAGGAACATCACATCGGCCGTGATTGGCTGCTGTGATTGCACTCAGCAAGTGAATTTTTCCAGCAAGATGGAGAGGCACTCCCTGTTTTCTGCTCTTAGATCCCCAAGCACAGATTCAGCTCTACTTATGCAGTTATTACACTTGAATTATTACCATTCACTTGCTTATTAAGTCTATAAACTGTGTGTGTGTGTGTGTGTGTGTGTGTGTGTGTGCAGCCTACTATGTGTTAGGCACAAATCGAGTGCTAATAGCTGCTGGTAGGATGAACAAATAGGATCTCAGCCTGTGAGGATGTAGAGAGTATGTGCATGTGTAGGGGGCATACGTGTAGGATTAAAAAAAAAAGGTGTTGCTGGAGCTAAATTTTGAAGATGAGTGGGAGTTAACCCAGTGGATGAGAAAAAAAAAGCATTCCAGGAAGAGGTAAAAACACATGCCAAGCATGGAGCTATATGGGGACTCCATCATGACTTAGAGCTATGAAGCCAGCTTGGGCGCTGGATAGAAATGGGCAAAGAAATCTGCATTCACATATGAATTAGCATCAGCTCAAAGAACTGCTTTGATGTAGTATGCTTAAAATATTTGTTTAAAAGAGAATATTCATTTGAATTCAGGGAAGGGGGGCAGTGAGGGAGGGAGCTGGGCCAGGATAGTGAGAGACAGTCCTGATAAACCCCAGGGCTGAGTACCCTGTGACCTTCCTTTCGAAGCTTTGCAACACGAAACTCTCTCCCTCAACCTAAGATCTGGCAGGTAGTAATTGTAGTAATCACTGGGGCCTTGTCTATGGGAGACATAAGCTTAAAAACAAACATAAACAAGAAAAAGAGGGTGAGTCATTCATCCATTTAATGTTCCGGTGAGATGACCATAGTAACAGGAAATGTTTTAGAAATCAAACAGAGATCATAATATGTAAAGGGCCTTGAACTTGTAATGTGCTATCCAAATATATGACTAGCATAGGAAGGCAAGAGAGACTGCGACCAGTTCACTCAAAACACAAGGCCAAAAGGAACTTTGGCAAGGGAGGTTGGAATGTGGCTGCTTGTAGAAATGCGTCCAGTTGTCAGTGACGCCTGGGAAAATGACACACACTATACTGACTGCTATGCATAGCCTGTATTTTCCCTAATGCTTTTCCTGCACTTTGTATTATTAGTAATCGAGTGAAGGAATGAGACTGATCATATGCAAACTCAAGGACAAGAACTTTCCTATTTATACAGCATAGCACTGGCAAGTCAGCAGCACTTAGGATGCGCGCAGACCTCTGAGGGGATTGCTGGAAGGCGGCTGGAGAGTTGAGAGACGCTATAATGGAACCAATAATCGTGTCCAGATGGACACTGACAGCCCAAGCTTCTTGGTCCAAAGCTGGTAAATCAATTCCAGTGAGAACTTAGTCATTAAGATTGAAGGCTCGAGTAGATAATGATGTTCCCATCAGATATGAATAAGTAAATCTGGGAAATGAAGAAGCATTGCAGGAGAGGCGCGTGGGACTGATAGGCAACGGATACTCTAGCTGAAGAGATGGGAGACGATTAGCATACATATGAACCACTTAGGAACAGGTGTACTGGGAGAAAACAAGGAGTGTGGGAAATGGACTTGGGGAGGTTTTATTATCCATGTTCCAAGAAAAGGAAGCACTTAGAAAATACATGGGTAATGCTGGAAGGAGCAAGCAGTTAGAATGTGGCCAGAAGAGGAGCCAAGGCTGAGACACCCATTACTCAGGCAGGGAAGGGGCGTTCTCCCTTTTTTTCCTTTGAAGCATTTTTGAGAGGATTAAGGCTGCCTGGTAACACCCATCACACACATTCTGACTCAGGCTGTGCTTAGGCACTATTCTGACAAGTTTTGAAATGTAATGTTTACTCAATACTAGACATCAGGAGATGGTACTGAGAATCCAAGATTTGGGGAGCACAAGGTTACCAGGGAGTGTGATACTCAAAGTCCTTGATGAAAAGATGAGTTTAGTAGCAACAACAATAATAGTATACAATCCAGCAAGAATTATCTGAGAGCCTTTTGTCCCAGCACGCAGGAGGCAGAGGCAGGCGGGTCTCTGAGTTCGAGGCCAGCCTGGTCTACAGAGCAAGTTCCAGGACAGCCAGGGCTACACAGAGAAACTTTGTCTTGAAAAAGCAAAACAACAACAATAAAAAAGAAAGAAACAAAGAAAGAACTATCTGAATTAGGACAAATTTGTCATATTTTCAGGCTTGATCTGTTTTCCCTTAAAACAAAATATGTGTTTATTTTGGTCAGTTGAACTAACGAGAGGGGTTTAAGCTGAAAGGGGATTATAAATAACTTTATAACAGAGAGATGCCAACCCACATGAACTTCTGTCTAAGTTTGTTTGCTGAGCTATGCATGAGGTACCACAACCATCATATCCTTAAAGGGGCCAAGTCATTAAGGAAAAGAAAGCCCAGCTAACAACTGGTGAATCAGGTTATGCAGTTTCTTCAATAGCTTTATCTCCTCACAATAAACCCCTGGAGCCCAGAGAAGCATTCTTTTTTTTTTTCTTTTTATCATCGTTTGTTTTTAAGATGGGACCCAGAACTTGCTATGTAGCCCAGGCTGGCCTTGAACTTGAGATTCACCTGCCTCCGGCTCCCAAGTGCCAGGATAATAGGCATATGTTACCATGGCCAGTGCAGAAAAACCGTGTTTTCTTGTTTATTTGGTTTTGGTTTTCTGAGACAGTTTTCCTTACAGCCCGGCTGGCATTCAACTTGTGGCAATCCCCCTGCCTCAGTCTCACAGTAGGTATGTATGTTTTCAAGGGAACCCAGGACCAAGGCTGATGGGCTTTTGCCCTGATCTTGCATTTCTGGCTGGAGCCCAGCTCTAGGAGGCTAGTTTCACTAAAGGAGGGTGCTGCTGCTGGTTTGGCTGTGCAGGAGGACAAAGAGGAACTGGAACACTCCAGAATGGCTCTGTGGTAAACTCCACTGCTTGGCCCTTCCAACACTCCGCTTTTGGATAAGAAGCCAGAATCCATCTTTGGGCCCAAAGTCAAACCCTTAGGATTCAGCTGCAATGAAAGCGTTGAGGGGGCGAGATAAGGGGCATTACTACATCAGGTTCCGGCCTTCTCTCGAGGCAGCTGATTACCAAGACGCCTTTCTTGGCTCTTATCCTTCCCACTCTCCTGCTTCTCTCACACAGAACTGTTCGGTAAAGTGTCCCGAGTGGTATTTACGGATTAGTGTCACAAGGGAAGTGTGGGTGACGCTCAGAAGTGGCGTGTCTCCCCTTCTTTGTCCCCAGGATCCTGCAGCAGGGAGGTGGGCCCCAGGAGACTCCATTGTAGGTCCTTCTAGTTCCCCCAAGCAAGTCCTGACAATCTGGGGGTGCAGTGGGTAGCTGCTCCCTTGGTCCCGAGTTCAGTTACACCGTCCCCATCTGTTTAAGCATCCCATTTGCTGAGCGGATGCTACTGCAAAGCTCCACGCTTGGCGCTTCAGCACAACGTAGTAACCACACATCCACTCTTTCACTGCCCCTCTTCGACACTTTTCTCTGAGTTAAATCTGAAGAGCAGACTTCATCATTCTACCATTTGTGATCTCGGGCAAAGTGCTAAGCCTGCGTCACAAATACCTAATGTTTAAATGGGGTAATCTTATGAAGCTGTTGTTAAGTATTACATAAGACGTTTAAACATCGAGCACGGTTCCTGGCACAGGGGTGCTCAAAAATCCTCTCCTCTCCCTTTGTCCTTCCTCCAGAAGCTTGGTCTTACTGCTCTGGATAGTCAAGCTCAAAGGCTTGGATCTTCTCTAATTTGGAGGCCTCACTGGTCCTGGTACCTCTTGGGCTCTGGGCTCTTAGAAGCAGTTTCCGTCTCCCTTAAAGTCCAGCTCGAAGCCAATTGGACTATCATACAGAAGACCAATTCTAAAGGGGCAGGGAGGGAACTGGAATGAACAAAGGCCACAGCCCCAGAGTTTCCCCCTCCTTTCCACGGTGTTGAGGGGTGCAAGCGAGGGCATGCTGAGCCTCAGAGGAGGAGGTCAGTACCAGAGTCCTGGGAGCTATGATGCCACAAATGAATCCAAATTTTTTTCCAGGCAAGGGTTCCTTCTGGGCATCTCTGGGGCACAGGCTGAGATCACCTGGGGTTCACCAACACCACCAGGAAGGTCCCTGGGGTTCCCAGATGGTGTCTCATGGAGCCAAGTCCAGAGACTAGCTTGATGCCACTCTACTCACACAGAAGGCCTCCCTGGGGGCCTGGGGAGGATGCCCTCCACACCAGGGCTGTGCAAGGCGGAAAGTGCAGGGTGCCCTGGGCGTCTCCCTTCTCGCAGCCCCACGGACTCCCTCAGGGGTAGAGGCGGCGGTCACTGGAGTGCATCCATTTGCACAGGGGCCCCCTGGGGGCGGCTCCCACACCAGCATCCAAGTCCAGGAGGACCGTCCTGGACCGCAGACCCGCCCCTCAGGGTGACGGCCGGGTCCCACCGCCCCCGCCCTCGCTTACCGGGACAGTCCGCGTGCGGGACGCGGGTCCGAGGCTGGCGGACTCTAATGCCGCGGGCCCGCGCTGCCCACGGCCGCTCCGGAGCCGACGTGCTGGGCCGAGCACCGGGAGCGGGCGGCGCGGGCGGCGCGACAGGCTGAGGCGGCGGCGCGCGCGCCCGGAGCACGCCCACCCGCTGCGCGTGCACCCGCGCCAGGCGCCCTGGGCCGGCCCGTGGGCGCGCACCGCCCCACCCTCCCGAGCCTCAGGCGCGGGCCGCGCCGCTCCGCTGGCCGCGGGCGTGGCGCGCGGTGGGAGCACGGGCGCGCGGCGGCGGCCGAGGAGCCGGCGGTCGCGGTGCCAGGGGGCGCCCGCACGAGCAGCCGGCAATGCGGCGCGGGGACTGCGCCAGCCGGGCCGCCCCGCGGCAAGGTCAGTGCGCCCCGGAGCTGGCCCGGGTCTGCGCTGCAGGGGCTGCGGCGACGCTCCCAGCCGCCGGCACCCAGGCAGGGCAGAGCGGCGTACGTGTGGCTGCGGCTCGGGCTGGGAAGAACTCACCCATCCGACCGTGTCTGCGCACCGCCCAGGTCTCCCGGCTCACCGTGGGGTGCTTACCTTCAGGTACCCACGGGGCTGGGCAGCGGCCAGAGGAACCTTCACAGAGACCTTGGCTGCTCCGTCTCGCCACGAGTGCTTGGTCGGAGGCTATTGGTCCTCCATCTCCAGCAGCAGAGCTGTGCTGTCATGTAACCCACTTTTTGTTGCAGCAACCTCAACCCTCAGACGAGCCAAACAGCCAGCTTGTCAGGCCGCCAGTGTTTCTGAGAACTATAACGCGCACTGCCGCAAACTCCACGCTTTCAAGAGGACAAGAAAAAGACTAAGTCACAAAGCACCTAGCAACTATAGGAAAATAACAGACGATGTGTACATATCCCCAGATCTCTATTATTTAAATTACATTTTAAGGTCACTTTCTTTTCTTGTACTACACCTTGTGTCTTACCAAACACAATTCACGTTATTTTTGAGTATCTAGTATCCCCCGCCCCCACTTTTCAGGTGTTGTGGGGATACTTTGTCCTTAACATAACTGTGGTAGTATATATTATTATTACCCAACTGATAATAAAAATGCCAAGTGCAAAGGTGCTATTTTAAATACCTTAAATGTCACTCACTGTGTAGCTACAGCTGCTCTGTAACTGACTGTATGGCTTCAGTTGGCCTTAAGCTCCAGGCAGCCAGACAGCCCTCCTGCTTTAGCCTCCCAGGGTGCTGGGGTTACAGGCATGAGCTACAGGCAAATGGTTAAGACACTATGATGTGGAGAAATTGTAGTGAGGCACAGTAAACAACTTGCCTAAAATAGCAGAGTTACTATGTGATGGAGGTGAGATTGAAATCCAGGTGTTCTGATAGCAGAACCCAAACTGCTGTTGAGAACTGAGAACACCTAGGCATCACTACCCAGAGCTACAAAATTAGTGTTAACAAGAGACACTATGCTTTTCTTGTGAAACTTAACATTGAGGAGCAGACTTCGCACTTTCCATGTGGTCAGGGATACTAATCTTTAGAATCACATCAGACCAACAATTTCAGACAAGGGCCACAGAGCTGTCTTTAGTGTGCTGTTCGTAGGCTGTTTGATGGGCCTCTATGAAAGAGGAGGCTGTTATGATGTCCCTATAGAAGTGTTTGTTGGTTAATTCCTTCCTTCATTCAAAAATATGTATTGTGCATCTGCAATATGACATTCATTGGACAAACAAGAAGCAAAAGGCAAATACTCCTGTCAAGGAGCTGTAATATCAACCATGAGGGTTTCACCCTAACACCCAATGCATCATAATCACTTCCCTAAGCCTCTGTGGTAGTTTGAATATTACTGGCCCCCATACACTCATAGGGAGTGGCATTATTAGGAAGTGTGGCTTTGTGGGATCAGGTATGGCCTTGTTGCTCAAGATACTGCCCATGTCACAGATACTTCCTGTTGCCTTCTGATCAGGATGTAGCCAGCACCACGTCTGCCTTCATACGGCCATACTCCCGCCATGATGATAATGGGTTGAGCCTCTGAACTGTAAGCCAGCCCCAATGAAATGTTTTCCTTGTAAGAGTCGCCATGGCCACAGTGTCTCTTCACAGCAGTAGAAGCCCTAAGACAACTAGCATTTGAAAACCCTCATCTGAGACTGCTGTGGTAAAAATAAAGGACTCAGAGTTTTTACGACCGAGCTCACGGTTTTCAGTTTGGAGATCTTTAGCCTAAGCATTAACGGTGACATCTACTCATCCTCCTTTCCTTTCCCTTTGCTCCTTCTTTTGCTGGATCCATCGTCTTTCTGAACCCCAACTTACTCTCTTATTGACTGCCCCACCTTCAGCCCATAAGCAGGATCAGGTTTAAGAAGCTTTTCTATTGGCATATTGTCTTATCCCGGTTGGGATTTTAAGTAATGAAAGTTTAATCCCCAATGCTGAACAGTGTTGGCAAGTGAGGCCTGAGTGATTACTCAGGAGGGTGTTGCCTTTAGAATGGGCTAATGTCTACAGTGGACTGATCACAGAAGCAAGTGCAGCCCCCT